GAATCAAATACCCATGAGAAAGATTCAGCAGAAATCACAAAGATTCATGGACCTCACATATTAAAATGATCAGACAACATAAAATATCTATGACATTTTAAATGAAAGAATCACAAAATGAACAACAAAAAGAAATGATCACAAATGACCAAGCAAATGTGAAAAATAACAACATAGAACTTTTAGAAATGAAAAAATCAAAGTTGAAATAAAAATTTCATGGTTAGTTTAGCATATTAGATACAGATGGAGAGAATAAATCAGAAACCAGACATGAAATAAGTCTTCAGAAAGCAATTTAGAGACAAGGAAATGGAAAATATAAAAGAGATTAAAAGACATGGGGGTTAGAATAAGGAAGATTGACATCCCAGAGGGAAAAAATAAAGAAAATGGAGGAGAGCTAAAATTCTTAGAGATAAGAAGTGAGAATTTTTGAAAAGTAGGAAATGGACCTACAGATACAGGAAGCATATGCCAAAAAGGATAAGTAAATTCACACACAGTCATGCCATAGTCAAACTACAGAGCACCAAGAAAGATCTTAAGGGACCTAAGAAAAAAAAGACAAATCACCTACAAGCGACCACAATCAATAAGAATGATACATTTGTCACTGCAACAATGGATGCTGAAAGAGGAGGGCTTAATATCTTCAGTGTGATATGAGAAAACTATCAACCTAGAATGTTATGTCCAGAGAAACTATCTTTAAAAAACAATGTTGAGATAAAGACCTTTCAGATAAAATAGTTTGCCTCCAAAAGACTTTCACTTAAGGAAATTCTGCTTTAGGAAAAAGGAAAATGGTATCAGAAAGGAGGTCTAAGATGCAGGTAGGAATGGTGAGCAGACATTGGTAAGCATCTGAGTAAATCTAAACAAGTGCTACCTGTATAAAATAATAATGCTAATGCGAATAATAATGTCTAACATGTGAGGTAAAAAAAAGATAAAATATTGGTCAACTAGAAGAGTGGTTAAATATTGATTCATTTTTAAATAATTAAATTTTGTATTAATTTTATTTTTTAAAGATTATTTATTTATTTATTTGACAGACACAGCGAGAGAGGGAGCACAAGCAGGGGGAGTGGGAGAGGGAGAAGCAGGCTCCCCATGGAGCAGGGAGCCTGATGCGGGGCTCGATCCCAGGGCCCTGGGATCATGACCTGAGCCAAAGGCAGATGCTCAATGACTGAGCCACCCAGGCGCCCTGTATTAATTTTAAATTAACTGTCATGCATGTTAAAATTTCGAGGATAACTTTCCTAAAGTAAAGAGATTGCATAACTTCTAAACCAATAAAGAGGCAGAGTGGAATTTTAAAAATTTTTTTAAAATTCTTTGCCACTATTTAGCTTTGTAACTAACCCCCGTCATGTCACGGAACCGCCATTAGTTTCCTCACATTTAAAATATGGATAGTAGTACCTCCCTTATATGGTTGTTGTGAAGATGTGATAGTGCATGCAAAAAAGCTGAACACAAATCTACATAGTAAGTATCCAATAAATATTAGACATTACTACTATTAATAGTGATTTATGGAGTACGTGACTGGCACGGTTGGTGGAGCATGAGGTCCTTGATCTTGGGGTCATGAGTTCAAGCTCCACATTCGGCATGGAGCTTGTTTTTAAAAAATCAAAAATTAAATAAGTAAATTAAAAAAAATTTTTTAAATAGTGATTTTATATAGTGACCATTAAAGGTGGTACTTTAAAGCCGTGCTAGAACTTCCCTGCCAACATCTCATCCAGCTTCTCTTCCATGAGAGTGAGTGCTATACCCAAAGATGGCTAGAGTGTTGAACAGTTCTAATAATTCTGACGGGTCATCTTTTGTTAATCGTAACTCCTTGCCCAGACCCTTCAGAATTCAGTATTGCCTTTCAGTAAAAGTTCAGAACATCAAGACTTTCCACAGCCTGGCCCCAACCAACTTGATCTCATGTCCTTGAGTTGGATCTCTAAACATATTTGATGTCTCTTTCCTTTATACTTTTGCTTAGAATGCCCTTTTGAAAAATAGTAGAATTTGGGTGATTTCCTTCATCTTCATCTGCAAAACCCTCCCTTTTCTGAAAAATTCAACCTATTCTCCAAACTCCAGTTCAAGTCCCATAAAAGTTTTTGACTATCCCAAAAATGATTTATAATTTGAAAAACTATCATCTAAACCAAACTTAGAGTAGTCATTTTTGCCTGTCTTCTGCTGCTTTTTCAATTGAGCTTTTATTTAAAATTTATATTATCACAGCATTTTCCTCACATTTGCGTGGTATTTCCAGTTAGATTTTTTTGTTCCTTAAGACAGTGGGTATTTCTTTTACATCTTTGTATAGCTCCTAGGGAAGGGAAACTAATATTTAAGTGCCTACTATATGCCAGGCACTCTACTAAATGCCTTCTTATATGTAACATCTAACTTATTCCTCACAGCAAACTTAGAAGGATAGATATTAGTGTCCCTGTTTTACAGCTGAGGACATTGCACTTGAAAATGGTTAAATAACATACCCAAGGCACTTAACTAGTCAGTGGCAAAGCTGGGTTTCTACCACACCACCCATCAAAATAGCTTGCAAATAAAACATGTCTTGGAGGAGTAAAAGGCTCAAATGGTTTATACATTTTTCTACTTATTTATATTCTACTCTGAAATTTAGGGTGTCATGGAAACATTTCCAAGAAGCCAAAATTCTTTTCAAAAATTAAAATTTGACATGCCAGTTATCAACTAACAGCTGAAACATGGGAATTCACAAAGAGCAGGATGTCAGACAGAAAACCTTATTTAGGGGGTTTAGATTAAGGGGATTAAAGAGAGATTCTGTTCTCTTATTCTATGCTTTGAGTTCATGTACTATGACATGAAATGAATCACAACAAAGTGAACCATCCTTAAGGTGCTTGCTGCAGGTCCATAACCCTTTCAGAACATTCTTTCTCAACAAGAGGTCTGGTGATACCAATTCTTGCAATTCCAAATGAAGAGGGTAGAAGAGTGTTTTCATGGAACTATCATCTCCTGTGGTTCCCACTTAAGTCTTAAATTAAGGAAGTCCATAGCATGAGGAATGTTCCTGATGTTAGCTGTCCTCAGGTTATCTATAAATCTCTTCTTTTCATCATGTACATCTCAAATCCTATCTTCTCCCATATTCTTTTCTTGGATCCCACAATACTGTTTCAGTGTGTATAATTCTCTGCTGTACTAGAGTCTCTAAATCACACATTCTTTGTGATCACTCACAAACTATTCATAATGGCCACTGGGAATACAAAATTGGATATAACAGCCCAATACTCCCAAGATGTCAATAGGCAAGGATATAGAGAGGCAGAGATTGGTTGTATTTTTAAAATTCCCTTTTCTTGTTTAAATGTTCCTTTTGAAATATCTTTAAAATTTCAAATACCTCTCGGCAGTATTATTCATTCAAGTGTTCTTCACCTCCAATCTCTGGTCCCAGGATACCTTTTGGCAAAATTATTGTGATGACTAAACAGAAAACTGTTGCTATTGCTTCTGCCACCATCTTCAAATCCAAAAGACGGTCTTCATAATGTATGGAGACTTCTTTTTTTTTTTTTTTTAAAGATTTTATTTATTTATTTGAGAGAGAATGAGACAGAGAGAGTACATGAGAGGGGGGAAGGTCAGAGGGAGAAGCAGACTCCCTGCTGAGCAGGGACTGTTTCATGTGTTGGAGTGATACTCCTCACAGATCAGAAAAACTGGACCGAGAAAGCTCAAGTTTGAAAGTTACCTAAGAGTGTCCTTGGAGGGAATTGTAACCAGGCATGTTGACTGTTTTCATTATTGACATTGGACTAAATCTCAGGAGCTTGAATGGTGGAGATGTATTTCACAGAGAAGCTCAGGATGGTGTGATTGCAAGGCTTCATTTCAGTGCTTCCATAAGTATAAATATAGTGTACTTATTTATAATTTTCATTTATTACAGGGTAAATTTAAAATTGATTGATAAAAAAATTACCTTTTTCCAGATTTCAAAAAGCACAGAAATTTGTGAAGGATAGTATTTTTACTTCTTTTTTTTTTTTTTAAAGATTTTATTTATTTATTTGAGAGAGAGAGAATGAGAGATAGAGAGCACAAGAGGGAAGAGGGTCAGAAGGAGAAGCAGACTCCCTGCTGAGCAGGGAGCCCGATGTGGGACTCGATCCCGGGACTCCAGGATCATGACCTGAGCCGAAGGCAGTCGCTTAACCAACTGAGCCACCCAGGCGCCCAGTATTTTTACTTCTTAAATGCTTTTTTCCCCCTCCTAATTCTACTTCCCAACATTATCTACTGTTAATGGAGTTCTGTGTGTATCCTTTTGGGGTATATTGATGAACAAATTGTTATGCTAGTAGTCTTTTGGACCCATATGTTAGCTACAAATTTTCTAGGCGGTTACATGCTTTATATAGAAATTATTTTTAATTTCTCTGGCTAATTTATTGAAAATAGTCCTAGTATTTCCACCTTAATGGAATTAAGTATATCCAAAATTTATATTCTGAGTCAAAAGTAGAAATTTTCCCCAAATGGTATAGATTGTCCCCATCAGTCTTGTCTCCCAGTGTTTGTTTATGAGACTTCTATTTTCTTAAACAGTACAAACATTACATTTCAGTGTTTTAATTTTTGAAAATGTGGTATTACAAAAAAAATGGCTTTTCTTCTCTTACTGCTCATCTTCATATGTCTTTAAACCTTACTAGTCACTTGTTATTTCATTTTCTTCTGTGTTTTCTTTTTCATTTCCCTCAGAATATTAGTGTTTTTGTTACTGATTTCTAAAAGGTCTTTTATGACTAAGGATGTTAACCATTTGCCATGCATTGCAAAAGAAATACCATGTGTTCTCACCACCATTTTACTGTGTTGTTTTACTTTTTGGTTGTACAGAAGTTGTGTATTCAAATATAATAATGTTCTGCTTTTAAAAAAAAATTCTATCTCTTCTCTTTTGCCTTCTCTAGGGTTACACATCTTTCTGGAATGACTGCATATCATCTGGCCTGCGAGGGGGTATCCTGATAGAGCTGGCAATGCGGGGTCGAATCTATCTGGAACCCCCCACGATGCGTAAGAAGCGACTACTGGACAGAAAGGTACAGCACCTCTGTGGACATCCTCCTAACTTATGAAAGGGCAGATACCAATGGTCCATTCTGGAGGAATGGGAAGTTTGTTCTTTTGGGGGGGGGGGCTTTAACTCATGACCCTGAGATCAAGACCTGAGCTAATATCAAGAGTCAGATGCTTAACCAACTGAGCCACCCAGGTGCCCCTAGGGGGAATGGGAAGATCTGAGTAGTGAGACAAGATAAATATCACTGACTCAGTTATTCCATTGTCTAACAGTTTTAATTAACCTATAGCAGAGGGAGAAATTCAAATATCCATCATCTAAAGAGTTTTAAGAAGGTTATGGTTTTGTCTTTTTTATGCAGAAAAATCACTTTAGGATGCTGTTATTACGCCCTCTATATAACTATAACATTATGAAATAGAGTGTTATATAGGAGGGGGGCAAACACATGCGTCAGATGAGTCTTTGTTTAACTCTAGTCATGCTCAGATAACCATTAGATTTTTCTCTTTCCATTTATAGCAAGTCGGGTCCACCATATGAGCTATACTCCTGTCTCCATTTTTTACTACTTATTTTTTCCACTCATAACTTCACTGTCATACTCAGAACTCTACCAAAACTACATTCTTTAGGTATCACCAGCAGGCTCTGTGCCCAATGTAGGGCTTGAACTCAACCCTGAGATCAAGAGTCACATGTTCTGAGCACCTGGGTGGCTCAGTCGGTTAAGTGTCTGCCTTTGGCTCAGGTCATGATCCTGGGGACCTGGGATGGAGCCCCGCGTCAGGCTTCCTGCTCATCCGGAGCCTGCTTCTGCCTCTCCCTCTGTCATTCCCCCTGCTTATGCTCGCTCATGCTCTCTCTCTCTCTCTCTCTTTGTGTCAAATAAATAAATAAAATATTTTTAAAAGGGGGGCGTGCCTTGGTGGCTCAGTCATTAAGCGTCTTCCTTCCGCTCAGGTCATGATCTCAGGGTCCTGAGATGGAGTCCCACATCCGGCTCCCTACTCAGCAGGAAGCCTGCTTCTCCCTCTCCCACTCCCCCTGCTTGTGTTCCCTCTCTCCCTATGTCTCTGTCAAATAAATAAAATCTTAAAAAAAGGCGGGGGGGCACCTGGGTGGCTTAGTTGTTAAGCGTCTGCCTTCCGCTCAGGTCATGATCCTGGGGTCCTGGGATCGAGCCCTGCATCGGGTTCCCTGCTCAGCCAGAAGCGTGCTTCTCCCTCTCTCTGTAACCCTCCACCCCACTCGTGCTCTCTCGCTATCCCTTTCTCTCAAATAAATAAATAAAATCTTAAAAAAAAAAAAAAAAAAGACACATGCTCTATCAACTGAGCCAGCCAGGTGCTCCATCACCACCCTCTCTATTGTCTTTATTTTTCTCTTTTAAGCTATATGTGGCATTTGACATTTTTGACCACCTCCTCCTACTTGAAATTTTCTCCATTCTTGGCCTTTGTTAAATTACATTTTCTTGCTTCTCTGGCTGTACCCTATTTCTTGTACTTCTCCATTCCTTCACATCTAAGTCTCAGTTTGTATCCTTTTGCATAACTTCCTGTCCTTTTGGAGATATCGTTTACCTTACAGCTTCATCTATCACCTCCATGATATTAACCTGTCAAATCCTAGCCTTCTTTTTCTACCCTATTTAAGTATTGAGTAGGCATTTTAACTTGGCTATCCCTTATCAGTTAAAACCAAACCTATCAACTTTTCCCCAAAACTGGTTCCTTTCCTGACTTTCCTATATTTATTATTTCACAAATTGGTTTTCCAGGGCACCTGGGTGGTTCAGTTGGTTAAGCGTCTGCCTTTGGCTCAGGTCATGATCCCAGGGTCCTGGGATCGAGTCCTGCATCAGGCTCTCTGCTCAGCAGGGAGTCTGCTTTTCTCTCTCCCTCTGCCTCTCCCCCCTGCGCATTTTCTCTCTCATTCTCTCTCAAATAAATATATTTTTTAACAAGTTGGTTTTCCAGACCCAAAGACTTATTATTGCGTATTGTCTCCATGATCATTTATATCCAGTTTGTCGCTAGGGTCCACTTCAAATGTTATTTTTGTCTCCTTACTATTACCCCATACTAAATTTTAAATTTCTTGAGGAAAGGAACAGTATACTAAGTTGCTTTGCATTTCCTACAACACTTAACCAATAATACATATATGGTATACTGAAAGATTTTAATTTGAATTAAGGAAATGAACTAGGGTCCCTTGATTCTTCTTTTAAAGGTACTGCTAAAGTCAGATAGCCCAACAGGGGATGTTTTACTGGATGAAACTCTCAAACACATCAAAGCAACTGAACCCACAGAAACCGTCCAGACATGGATAGAGCTACTCACAGGTAAAATGGCTCAAAATGGTTCAAAAATCCCACACTTTGTAATCTTTATGCTACTAGTTCAAGAATAGGAGTACAGGAATTAAAGCTGCTGGGTAAGAAATATATGGTTCAGGGGCCCCTGGGTGGCTCATTCGGTTAAGTGTCTGCCTTCGGCTCAGGTCATGATCCCAGGGTCCTGGGCTCCCTGCTCAGTGGGAAGCCTGCTTCTCCCTCTGCCTGCCACTCCCCCTGCTTGTGCTTTCTCTCTCTCTCCTTAATAAATAAAATCTTTAAAAAAAAAAAAAAGAAATATACGGTTCACTATTTAAATGTATTAAAGAGGGACGGAAAAGGCATGGTTAATCAATACATAAAGTTTCCCACCAAAGTTTCATCTTACTTCTGCCACCCCACCCTATAAGTTCTCTAAAAATATTCTTCACAAGAAAAAATTTTAACATCTTTATTGATATATAATTCACACACCATACAGTTGACCCATGGAAAGTACACAATTAAATGGATTTTAGTATATTCACATAATTGTGCAACCATCATCACAATCTAAATTTAGAACATTTTCATCACCCCAAAAATAAACCCCATACTAATTAGCAGTTTTTTCCAAGCCTCCTGCCCAGCTCTAGGCAACCACTAATCTACATTCTGTCTCTATAGATTTGCTTATTCTAGATATTCATATAAATGAAATGTATAACATTTTGTGTAACTGGCTTAAGATATAATATTTTTAAGGTTCATCCATGTTTTAGCATGTTCCAGTACTTCATCCTCTTTTTTTTTTTAAGGGCAAGTTCAAAAACTTTAATATAAGTAAGTAGATCTGTGGTATAAAATTTTAGGAAAAAGCAGGACACTTTGAGATCACCAGTGTCACCTTCTGGGACAATTTTTTTATTGAAATTTTTACTGAGATATTTGTAGATTTACATGCAGTTGTAAGAAATAATACCGAGAGATCCCTTATACACTGCCCAGATCCCCCAGTGATAACCTTTTAGAAAACTATAGTATAATATGACCCACAGGATATTGACATTGATAAAATCCACCAATCTTACTAGAACTTCCCCAGTTTCACCTTGACTCCTTTTTATCACTAAATAATATTTCATTGTATAGATGTACCACATTTATTTATTGATTCATCGGTCAATAGACATTTGGATTATTTCCACTTTTAGGCTATTATGAATAATGCTGCTATGAACATTCACAGATGGGTTTTTTGTGGATGTGTTTTAATTTCTTTTGGGTATATAGTTAACTTTTTTAATTGTAAAATATGCATAACTATCTTTATTGTCTTAACCATTCATAAATGTATAATTCAGTGACATTAAATACATTCCACGTGTTATGTAACCATCACCTCTCTCTATACCCAAAGCTTTCTCATCATCCCAAACATCCTTTCTTTCCACCCCCCCCCCATTCTCTGGCAACCTCTTTTCTACTTGTTGTCTTTATGAATTTGCCTGTGCTATGTAACTCATATAAGCGGAATTACAATATTTGTCCTTCTATATCTGTCCTATTTCGTTAAGCATAATGTATTCAAGGTCTGGTCATGTTGTAGCATATATCAAAATCTCATTCCTTTTTATGGCCAAATTATATTCCATTGTTCAGATCTACCCTTTTTTTTTTTTATTCATTTGTTGATGGACACTTGGGTTGTTTCCACCTTTTAGCTATTGTGGATAATGCTGCTATGAACATTAGTATACAGTTATCTGTTCAAGTCCCTGCTTTCCGTTCTTTTGGATATATAGCTAGGAGTAGAATTGCTGGGTCATATGATAGTGCTATGTTTTGAGAAACCATAAAACTATTTCCTCTACAGGCTACACCCTTTTACACTCTCACCAGCCATGCATGAGCTTTCTAGTTTCTCTACATTGTCATCAACACTTGTTCTATTTTTTGTTTTATTTTGTTTTTAATTATTAGCTCCCCTAGTAGGCATGAAGGGATATCTCATTGTTGTTTTCATTTGCGTTTCCCTAATGACCAGTGATGAGCATCTTTTCATAGGTTATTGGCCATTTGTATATCTTCTTTGGAAAAATGTTTATCCAAGTTCTTTGCCCATTTTTTTAATTAGGTTCTGTTGTTATTGTTTTTGTTTAAAGATTTTATTTATCTGAATATTTAGTTATTTATTTGAGAGAGAGAGAGAGCTAGCGAATACACAGATGGAGGGGGAGAAGCAGACTCCCCACTGAGCAGGGAGCCCAAAACAGGACTCAATCCCAGGACCCTGAGATTATGACCTGCGCCAAAGGCAGACACTTAACCAACTGAGCCACCCTGTTGGCTCCCTATTGTTATTGCTGTTGAGTTTTAGAAGTTCTTTATATTTTCTGGATATTAATTCCTTATCAGATCCATCATCGTTTACCAATATTTTCTCCCATTCTGTAGGTTGTCTTTTCAACTTTTTTGATGGTAATCCTGGATGCACAAAAGTTCTTAATTTTGATGAAATCCAATTTATCTATTTTTTCTTTTGTTGCCTGCACTTTTGGTCTCATATCCATGAAAAGACTGCCCTTTCTGCATTGAATAGTCTTAGTAGCCTTGTTGAAAATCAGTTGATCATAGATGCGAGGATTTCTGGGCTCTCTGCTCTGTTGCTTTGATCTATGTTTGTCCTATGCCAATACCATACTGTTTTACTTACTATAGTTTATAGTAAGTTTTGAAGTTGGGAAGTATGTCATTTTTGAAGGAAAGTTTTTCTGGATATAGAATTCTCATTTGACAGTTTTTTTTTTCCCTTTTATATCTTTGAATATATTAGCCCACTGCCTTCAGGCTTCCAAATTTTTTGATGAGAAATCTGCTGATAATATTACTGAGGATCCCTTCTTTGTAACAACTCACTTCTGTCTTCCTGGGTTTGTTCGTTTGTTTGTTTTAAGGAAAGGGGAAGAAAGACTACTAAAGATTTTATTTATTTATTTGAGAGAAAGAGAGCGCTCACAACCAAGGGGAGGGGCAAAGGGAGAAGGAGATTCCCTGACGAGCAGGGAGCCCAATGCGGGACTCAATCCCAGGACCCTGGGATCATGACCTGAGTCGAAGGCAGACGCTTAACTGACTAAGCCACCCAGGCGCCCCGGAGCCTAATTAAAAAAAAAAAAAAGATTCTACGTTCTAGTATAATTGTTGTCTAGGTGAAGAGAGGAATGTCTGGCACTTCCTACTCTGTCTTCATCCCTGATGTCATACCTCAGTGATTAACAATTTAAAGAATCTTATCATCTATGTCCAGTTTGAGTTTGTCATTAGGGTCCACTTCAAATATTATTTTTGTCTCCCCACTATTGCCCCATACTAGATTTTAAACATCTTAAGGACAGGGATGGGGCCAGTTTTTCAAAGTGGCTACACCATTTTATATTTCCACACCAATGTGTAAGTTTTCATTCTTCTACATTCTCATCAGTACTTGTTATTCTCTGCTTTATTTTATTTTATCTATCCTAATGAATATGCAGTGGTATATCATTGTGACTTTTATTTGGATTTTCCTAATACTAATGTTGTTGACCATCTTTATGTACTTATGGCCGTTTGTATATCTTCTTTGGAGAATTGTCTATTCAAATACTTCACCTATTTTTTGAGGCGCCTGGGTGGCTCAGTCAGTTAAGAGTCCGCCTTTGGCTCAGGTCATGATCCCAGGGTCCTGGGATCGAGCCCCGCATTGGGCTCCCTGCTTGGCCGGGAGCCTGCTTCTCCCTCTCCCACTGCCTCCTGCTGCTTGTGATCTCTCTCACTCTCTCTGTGTGTCAAATAAATAAAATCTTTAAAAAAAAACAAAAACAAATACTTCACTTATTTTTTAGTTAGGTTTACCTTTTTTACTATTGAGTTGTACTTTTCAAATATATTCTAGATACAAATCTCATCATGTACAGGATTTGCAAAACTTTTCTTCCATTCTATGTCTTTTCACTTCTTTATGGTGTCCTTCAAAGCATAAAGTTTTCAATTTTAATACTTTTCAATTAAACTTTTTTTCTTTTATTACTTGTGTAATATCTGAGAAATGATTGCTTAACCCAACATCATGAAAATTTATTCCTGGGGCACCTGGATGGTTCAGTCAGTTAAGCCTCTGCCTTCAGCTCAGGTCATGATCCCAGGGTCCTGGGATTGAGCCCTGCACTGGGCTCCCTGCTCAGCAGGGAGCCTGCTTCTCCCTTTCCCTCTGCCCCTCTCCCTCCCACTCATGCTGTCTCTCTTGCACGCACGTGTTCTCTCTCTCTCAAATAAATAAATAAAATCTTCTTTAAAAAATTTATTCCTGCATTTACTCCTAAGAGATTATAGATTTGTCTATTTCACTTAGGTCTGTTGTCCATTTTGAGTTAATTGTATATGGTATGGGATAGAGCTCCAACTTCAGTCTTTTGCATGAAGATAGAAATACAGTTGTCCTGGCACTATTTGTCCTAATACTGTTCTGTCCTCCATGATTTATCTTGGTACCATTGTAAAAAATCATTTGACCATAAATGTATGGGTTTATTTCTGGACTCTTGATCTATATGTCTATTCTTATGCAATACCACACTCTCTTGATTATTGTAGGTTTTGGTTTTTGTTTTGTTTTTTTGATTATTGTAGTTTTATAGTAGTTTTGAAACCGGGAACTGTGAGTCCTCCAACTTTATTCTTCTTTTTCAAGATTTTTTTTGGCCATGCTGGGCCTTTTGCATTTCCATATGAATTATAGAATTAGCTTGTCAATTTCTGCAATAAAGCAGGGTAGGATTTTAATAGGAATTGTATTGAATCTGTAGATCAGTGTGGGGGAATATTGCTATCTTAATAAAATGAAGTTTTCCAATCCGTGAACGTGGGATGTCTTTCCATTTATTTAAATAATCTTTATTTCGGGGCGCCTGGGTGGCTCAGTCGTTAAGCGTCTGCCTTCGGCTTAGGTCGTGATCCCGGAGTCCTGGGATCGAGCCCCGCATCGGGCTCCCTGCTCCGCGGGGAGCCTGCTTCTCCCTCTCCCACTCCCCCTGCTTGTGGTCCCTCTCTCGCTGTGTCTCTCTCTGTCAAATAAATAAAATCTTTAAAAAAATAATAATAAATAAATAAATAAATAATCTTTATTTCTTTCAACAATATTTTATAATTTTCAGTGTGCAAATCTTACACTGCTTTTGTTATATTCCTAAGTATTTTGTTCTTTTTGATGCTGTTATAAATGTAATTGTTTTCTTAATTTTATTTTCAGATTATTTGTTGCTAATGAATAGAAATTCAGTTGATTTTTGTATATTAATCTTGTATCCTGCAACCTTGCTGAATTTGTTGCAATAGTTTAAGTGGATTCCTTAGATTTTTCTGTATACAAGATCATGTCATCTGAAAATAAAAATAGCTTAACTTCTTCCTGTCTGATCTGAATGCTTTTATTTCTTTTTCTTGCCTAATTGCCCAACTAGAACCTCCAGGAAAAAAAAAATAGAAGTGATGAAAATGGCATCTTTGTCTTACACCTGATCTTAGCAGGACAACACTGACTCTTTCACCATTAAGTATGAAGCTAGCTGTGGGTTTTTTGTAAATGCCCTCTATCAGGTTGAGGAAGGTTCTACCTATTCCTAGTTTGTTGAGTATTTTTATCATGGAAGTATGTTGGATTTTGTCAGATACTTTTTCTGTGTTGATTGAGATGATCATTTGGTTTTTGCTTTTCATTCTATTGATATGATGTGTTACATAATTGGGTTTGGGGATATTAAAGCAATCTTGCATTTCTGGAATAAGTCCCACCTAATTTTGTTACATAGTGTTTATTATATGTTGCTGGATTTTATTTGGTAGTATTTTGTAGAATATTTTTGTACCTATAGTCATAAGGGGTATTGGTCTATAGTTTTCTTGTGTGATGTCTTTGTCTGGTTTTGGTATCAGAGTAATACTTAAGGAAGTGTTCCCTTTTCTGTTTTTTTGAAAGAGTTTGTGAAGGATTAGTAGTATTCTTTAAACATTTGGTAGAATCACCAGTAACCCATCTTAACCACGCTTTTTGGGGGGAGTTTTAAATTACTTATTCAATCTATTTACTAGATCTATTCAGACTTTCTCTTTCTTCTTGAGTCAATTTAGATAATTTGTGTGTTTCAAGGAATTTGTCCATTTCTTCTAGGTTATCTAATTTGTTGGCATACTGTTGTTTATAGTGTCCTCTTACCACCCTTTTTATTTCTTTAAGGTCAGTGGTGATGTTTCCTCTTTCATTCCTAATTTTAGTAATTTGAGTCTTCTCTCTTTTTTCTTGGTCAATCTAGGTTTGTCAATTTGTTGATCTTTTCAACTTTGATTTTATTGATTTCCTCTATTGTTTTCATTGTTTCTATCTATCTCCTCTCTAATCTTTACTGTTTCCGTTCTTTTGCTCCCTTCATGCTTAATGTGCTCTTCTTTTTCTACTTTTTTAAGGTAGGAAGTTAGGTTATTGATTTGACATCTCCTTTTCTAATATAACATTTGGGGTCATAAATTTCTCTCTTGGCACTGCTTTAAGCTGCAGCCCATAATTTTGGTCTGTTATGTTTTCATTTTCATGCAACTCAAAGTATTTTTTAAATTTCCCTGTGATTTCTTCTTTGACCAATTAGTTATTTAGGAGTGTGTTGCTTAATTTCCACATATTTTTGAATTTCCCAGATTTTTGTCTGTTAATTTCTAATTTAATTCTGTTGTGGTTGGATAGCATACTTTGGATGTTTTCAATCCTTTTAAGTTCATTAAGGCGATTTTATGGCCTACCATATGGTCTATCCTGGAGAATGTTCCATGTGCACTTGAGAAAGATATGTATTCTGCTGTTAGGGTGGAATGTTCTGTAGATATCTTGTTAGGTCTAGTTGGCTTATAGTGTTGTTGAAGTCTTTTGTTTTTTTTCCCCAAAGGTGAGACCTGGAACCCCTTCAAATTACAGTACCAGCTGAGAAATGTAAGAGAGCGAATTGCAAAGAACCTAGTAGAAAAGGGTATTCTAACCACTGAGAAGCAGAATTTCCTCCTATTTGATATGACTACTCATCCAGTGACCAATACAACAGAGAAACAACGACTAGTCAAAAAACTTCAAGATAGTGTCCTAGAGCGGTGGGTAAATGACCCTCAGCGTATGGACAAGCGAACACTAGCACTCCTGGTGCTAGCCCACTCCTCTGACGTGCTAGAGAATGTCTTCTCCTCTCTGACAGATGACAAGTATGATGTGGCAATGAATCGAGCCAAGGATCTAGTAGAACTGGACCCTGAAGTGGAGGGGACAAAGCACAGTGCCACAGAGATGATCTGGGCTGTGCTGGCAGCCTTCAATAAATCCTAAAGCCAGTGGGTGGGTTTCTCCTTTTCCCCTGCCGGCTGGTGACTGTCAGAGACACCACACTGAGTTTTGTGTGATGAGATGTTTTTCATCATTTTTTTCCTTCTCTTGAATCAGATTTGTGATTTGGGGAGAGCAGCTTCAGGGCTTCTCCATAAACTTTGGCCATTGTAAACAGACTATTTCTCCTTATTTTTCCACTACAGAGGTGAATAAACTAGGTGAACCCACACACACCCAACAGGCACCATTTTTTCTCATTTCTTGGTTTACTTCCACCCAGTGTGCTTTTGGATAAGCAGGAATATCTAAGTGGGATTTGAAGTTCTCCAGTCAGAAAATGTGAGTGAGATATAGAGCAAACCATTTATTAAGTTTTTTAAAATTTGTTTTCTATCCTTTTTTTTTTTTTAAGTAGGCTCCACGCCCAACGTGGGGCTTACTCATGACCCCAAGGTTAAGAGTCATATACTCTATGGACTGAGCCAGCCAGGCGCCCCTATTTTCTACCTTAAATACATGTTTTAACAGTCTTTGTCTCTCAGACTCTACTAAGTAATGTAGTTGTTGAAATAACTGTTTCTTTGAATAAGGGGCAGTGGAAACAAAACTAATTTTTGGAGCAGATGGTCTCTGGGATTGTATGTCCCACTAATGATTTTTTCTTCTTTCCTTTTCTAACCTAATGAAAAGATTGCAAATTTGATTGCCTGGTTCTCACAGCCCTAGAATCAGAAATATATTCTATACTCTCTCTTAGCATTATCCTACTCCTTCATTCATTAGGACAAAAGTCTGAATGAAAAAAAAATGTATCAACCATGTCCTTCAGCCTTTAGTTATATGATTTATAAGGGAGGGAAGGAGCATGAGAATTTCCACTCAGTAGCACATGACTGTCCTGATTCCTCCAGATATACTCTACATGTCTCTGAATTGAGGGAGTTATAAATTTCAGCTGCTGAATAGCAGCATCCTGAGTCCAGACAGTCTATCTAAACTCCAGATGTTCTTGTTCCCTATCTTCGACTTCCTTCATAAATTGATAGATTCTGTCTATATTTAAGGGTTGTAGGAGTATTTTTGTCTACATTTAATTCACAGTTACCCTCCTAGTCATTAGTCTTGTTTCAACACAACCATCTATCTACCCAAATCTCTAAAAAGTTTCAATTTTTTCAATTGGATAGTGAGTGCAAAGAGAAGATTAAGATAAATCCTATTTAGAAGAGCAATTTGGTGTCAAAAGCATGCTGATATAAAGTCTAGTGTTTGGGAATATAAAGAAGACAGGCACCAAGTTGTGCTAAGGTCAAGCATTTATTATGCTAATATTTTTTAATGGAGCATGCTTCGTGACCATTACAGAGAAACAGGTTGTCAGAGAGTTAATACAGACAACCCAGACCTGATACCAGATACTCAGTAATTACAAGAATGATTGTAACTTTGATTTCCTACCCCAAACCTGTTTAGCCCCACAAAATTCCCCAACTCAATTAACTCAATTAAGTTTTTCACTTCAGGTATTGCTTATGTGACTAGAGATACAAATTTTAGTGTGAAATGAATTCTAAATGTGAGCCTGAGTAGAGTTTCAGTCTGGCTCTCTGAAAGTACAAAAGCCAGTCCATGTGTTATATCTACCTGACTTAGTTTTCCTTTCCATTTGAACAATTCAGCAGGAATTGAAACCAGGTTTTCCTGTGGAAAGTGTCAGCTTGATTGGGGGAATGGGGGGCAGAAGTTGAGTTGAGTTCTTTCTTGCAACTCTTGGTCAGTGTTTATTTTTATATTGTATCTCAATGAGGATTTCTTCAGTTTGAATCTGTATTCACTGCAAAACACATTCTCCTTTAATGCATATGGCCTTCACATTTCTGTACAATAAATATCAATTTTTGGTTCTCTGGTTTTACAACTTCAATTATTTTAACTGGAAATAAGAACTTTCCACACAAGGCCAATAACACTATCCCTTTACACTAGGAGACCAGCCTGTTTCATCCTGTATAGAAAATAGGAATACATGGAGTCGTAACATATATAGATAGGCTAGGCGGGGGGTGGGCAGGCACATCAAGGCTAACCTAAAGAGTAGCTAATGTTGTGGTCTGAAAAATGTCCCTCAATCAAAATAATTTACCCAATTATAATATTATTATCATGAAGAAAAGGAGTATGTTCTATCCTATTATCTACTTGCAAGTGACACCTAAACTTATCTAAGAGCTGAAAGTCTTTAAGTTCGCAACACAGGTAACATACCTCACTGTGACAGAGTTAACAACATGTGAAAAGTATGGTGTCTCTCCCAATTAGATGGGGCCCCCAAATGTGAGGCAACCCGATCGGGTGGAATTTGGAGGTGCAGGTGGTGAAACGATTTCACCTGAAGCAGAAAAAGGAGAAGTTTACTGAATACATTGCAAGGGAGTGGTGTGCAGGACAGGAAGGCAGAGACTGTGGGGACTGTATTTAAAGGGAGAAGGTGAGGAGGTATGGGGACATAGGGAATTTTCCCTTTTTAGGTGACTGTGCCTGGTTGTAAGTAGCCCATTGGTTAGTTAGGGCCTTGGATATTTTGAGGTGGGTCACCTGATGGCCTGTCTGTATTCAGCCAGGGGTTACGGTGGGCCCTTCTGCCTTGCTCAAGTTTCCATTGCTCAAGCTTGTTGCCTAAAAGTGGCATCTACAAAAAGATAATTGTGCTTGTAATTGGCTTATTGTTCTTCCCTTCTTTATAATGTCTACAGCACAGGGGACAATAAGAAATATATTTACCAGGATTGTTTATACTTGTTAATTTTATTTCAAGCAAAGCATTGTTCCCTTAAGTCATCCTTTATACAATGTTTCTCAAAATGTGGTGCAAAGAGTACTGCACCAAAATCACCTTGGGGTGGGGGTTACCTTGCTAAAATGCAGGTTCCTGGTAAATCCGTCTCTGGTATAGGTTAGGGGCTAGGAAGCTGCATTTTATTTTTAAAGATTTTTATTTATTTGACAAAGAGACACAGTGAGAGAGGGAACACAAGCAAGGAGAGTGGGAGAGGAAGAAGCAGGCTTCCCACCAAGCAGGGAGCCCAATGCGGGGCTCGATCCCAGGACCCTGGGACCATGACCTGAGCCGAAGGCAGACGCTTAACGACTGAGCCACCCAGGCGCCCCGAGGAAGCTGCATTTTAAACACAGTCTCCAAAAGCTGCATGTTAAATTTTGAGAACACTGCTTGATATTTTATTGCTTGTAATTGATTAATCCCCCAAATATTGAGTACTTACAAATTTGGCACAAGTGCCAAAAACTGGCACTTGCTGGGTGTTGACAATAAAAAGTTGTGTAGGATACAATTTCACTCCCAGTAACTCACATTAAAGTGGGAAAATAAGATACTTTTTGATAAGTGCTCTAATAGAAACATAAACTTAATATTTGTGGGTTTTTTTTATTTTTTTAAAGATTTTTTATTTTTTAACAGAGAGAGACACAGCGAGAGAGGGAACACAAGCAGGGAGAGTGGGAGAGAGAGAAGCAGGCTTCCCGCAGAGCAGGGAGCCCGATGTGGGGCTCGATCCCAGAACCCCGGGACCATGACCCAAGCTGAAGGCAGACGCTTAACGACTGAGCCACCCGGGGTTTTTTTTTTTTTAAGATTTATTTATGTGACAGCACAAGAAGGGGGAGCGGCAGGCCGAGGGAGAGGGAGAAGCGGGCTCCCTGCAGAGCAGGGAGCCCAACGTGGGCTCGATCCCAGGACCCTGGGATCACGACCTGAGCCGAAGGCAGACCCCAAACCAACTGAGCCACCCAGGCACCCCTAAACTTAATATTTGGACACACAAAGAAAGAAGTAACCTTCTTCCTGGGACCATTAGGACAGACTTAGAGGAGTTATATTAATTTATAGTAGCTTTCATGTACTGAGCATTTGTGAGGTACTATGCTACTTTATATGTTATTTATTCTTCACAACGCTAAAATCCTGTAAGTTTATTTTAAAGAAACCTCAGGCTTGCCTAAGGACACAATGCAGAGCTTAAGTTCAAGTACATGCTTTTAACCACTACTCTCTCCTTCCTCCATTTAAACTCAGTCTTGAAGAATCTTTTCAGGTTGAGGAGGAAGAGCTGAGCTATTTGAGGCAGGAGAACAATATGTACAAAATAATTTGTCACGTGCTGGAATTTGTGGGTGAATATGTGTGCTTTTCACATGTCTCTAGATTTCTAAAAGATACCATCCTTTTTTTTTTTTAAGATTCTTATTTTTTATTTATTTATTTGACAGAGAGAGAGACAGCGAGAGAGGGAACACAAGCAGGGGGAGTGGGAGAGGGAGAAGCAGGCTTCCCGCAGAGCAGGGAGCCCGATGCGGGTCTCGATCCCAGGACCCTGGGATCATGACCTGAGCTGAAGGCAGACGCTTAACGACTGAGCCAGCCCAGGCGCCCCTAAAGATAATTTTCAAAAAGGGAAAATCATAACTTACACAAATGATGGAACTAATAAGGTGTTAAACCGGCTCAAAAGAAAATCTGAAGACAGATATATACATAGGCAATTAAGAATGCTGAAATGAACTTGCTTGCTAATAGAGGTAAAATTAGTCAATATCTACAGTGTATAAAATATAATGTTTAGGACGAACTTTTTCACAGGGTGGAAATCAGTTGTATCTTGCTAGACAAAATTCAGTTGTCTCTCTATGAATAAAAATCATTTGCATTGCCATCAGTTTTCTCAACTTAAAAATTGTAAAATAGTTCAAAGACAACGAAAGGCATAGATCACATCCTCTAGACAATACCCAACAATGTCTTTGCTCATTTTTCTTTCTCTCTTTTTTTTTTAAGATTTTATTTATTTATTTGTCAGAGAGAGAGCACAAGCAGGGGGAGCGGCAGGCAGAGGGAGAGGCAGGCTCCCCTCTGAGCATGGAGCCTGATGTGGGGCTTGATCCCAGGACCATGAAACTTTAACTAACAGCTACAGTGTGAAATATTGGCCCAGGGAAGACCCTAGAGAAAATCACAGAAAAGGAAGAAAATGTACCTAGTGTCAGCTACTGATAGTGGCTTACTCTTTGTTGTAGTTTTTGTATTTAAAAGAGTATTCAGTCAAAAGGAGACAATTATAACCCCAAAGAATGGATCACTAATGAAATTTAATGTGCTACCTAAGACTTGTGAGGGAGAGTTGGAGCAAAGGGCTTTCAACCTTAAAACCC